TATAGTACAAGAATAAGACAGGAGGTAGGTAAGGAGTGCTAGAGAGGCTGAGAGTGCATGAGATGGGACAGTGGGAGGCTACAGAACAGCTGCATGTGTCCACACATGGCTTCCTTCTCCTGGACTCAGCTAAGTGTTCAGTGCACAACAAATATCAGTTTTACTTTATGGAACTTTCTGAAAACTTTTTCCCCCCATATTTTCAATTCACAGTTGGTGAAGTCTACACATGTGGAATCTATGGATACAAACTTTATCTAATTTTTGAAGTATTTCTTCTTTAAAGAGAACATATTGAAGACATTTTGAGATCTGAAACAGTTTACTGTATTCAGAAGGCAAAACATCTTTGAAATAACACAAAGTCATAAATTACAATTCAAGTAGATCGAAACAGGTTTAAAATAGTAATGAAAACTGGATCATAACCTTAGGAAGCATGGCCCATGCAGACCTGGACAGTTGCAGAGGAGAAAAGGAGAAACAATCCTCCACCACAGGGGAATCCTCCAAGAGCCAGGACAAAAGTTTTCAAAATTTCCTGCGATGTTCTAAAAGGTACCTTATGGCTGCATTTATCACACTGGATCCCATCACACTCTTATGCCAACAGCAAATCCAGCCTGATGAAATATTTTACTCAGTATAGAATTTTTGATTTATTTTTTTACCTTCAACTTCTTTTTCATTTCTGAAGTCTCTTGCATCTTCTTATACTCTTTTATCTCTGAACTCTGAATGGCAGTCTTTGATTTCAGAATCCAGTTCATCAGCTCTGCACTTACAGCATCAAACCTGAGTTAAGATTCAGATATTACCACCTCTCATTTTGTTTTCCTGTTTCACTTGGTTCAGGAAAGAACAATTCAAATGCCCATTGGGTGTATGTCTTCAAACAATGCTCCAAAATAGTAACCCAGAAATATAGTAACCACACTAAGATCATACATGGACTGAGCAATAATACTGTAGTATTAATAAATAAATAACAAATTACAATTTTTTAACTTTGGAAGGAACCCCTTGTATTTTTATACACTCTTAAAAATAATAAGAAATACATTTGGTTAGATAGTAACAGAAGAAATCAAGTACAAACATTACTAAATTTAATGCCTTTTTTGTTCCAAACATAATTATCAAGTACAACTACATGCCAGGCATGGGCGTGGGCTATGATATCAAGAAGAATGAGACACACAAACCTCAGCCCTCAAGGAGCCTCCAGTCACTAGCAAACAAGAGCAATAACAAAAGAATCTGCTAGATTCTACTTCCAGGAATTCACAGGAATGGCTCTTAATCCAATGGGGAAGGGATGGCCTTCCAGTGTAGAACAATGGCTATACTTAGCAGTTTTCCTTACAAACAACAAGGAAGGAAGGAAACAAGGAAGGAAGGGAGGGAGGGAGGGAGGGAGGAAAGGAAGGAAGGGATGGATGGGAACGTCATATTTTACAATCTCCAAATTGTTATGTGTGTTTGGATAGCAAGCACCTGCAGGTAAGGATAATGGACAAGGTGGCCAAGAATCCCAGGGACCAGTTAATGGAAGGTTCTACAGGAGATATTAAGGAATTCTGACTTAACGGAAGAACAATTACGAGTGAGTGGAAGACTTTAAAATGGAACTGATTTAATTCTATTCATACTTTTGTGTTCACTGAGGAGACAGAATTAAAGAGAGGCAAGTGCAGAGAAAAGCCCAGAACTAAGACAGTGACAGTGGAAAAGAGGAAAGTGGACAGTCGGAAGAGGTACTGCAAAGGCAGGTCAACAGAACCACAAGGAGGAACAAGAGAAACAGTCACCGACTGCTGGCCAGAGACCAGGCCCTTGGCTGAGTGTTGTGGTTTAGCTATGAGGCATCCCCCAGAGTTCATGTGTGAGATGATTCAAGAAGCTTAAAGGGAACTCAATTGAGTTATGAAAGCTTTAACCTAATCTGTGCACTAATCCTCTGATAAGGATTAACTGGATGGCCACTGTAGTCAGGTAGGATGTGGCTAGAGGAGATGGGTCTTTGGGAGTATGGCTTTTGTGTTTATATTTTGTCCTGCCCAATCTCCCAATCTCAATCTCTCTCTCTCTCTCTCTCTCTCTCTCTCTCTCTCTCTCGTTCAATGTTCTGAGCTGCTTTCCTCCACTCTTCCGCCATGTCATTCTGCCCACTTCAGGCCCAGACCAATGGAGTTAGCCATCTATGGACTGACACTGCTAAAACTGTGAGCCCCAAAATAAACCTTTCCTCCTCTAACTGTTCTTGTCAGGCTTTTGACAAGAACCAGCTGACTAAAACACTTAGCATTTGATGCATATTACTAACTCTAAGAATCACAATTGCCCTATGAAGTGTATTCCACTGAAGTATGTTCAACTGAACTCACTGAACTTTACAGTAATTGTGCCACATTAATAAATGGTGGGGCTGGGCTTCAATCCAGGCAGCCCATCCTCCTGCCCATAGTGTTCTCAGTACTTTAAGCAGCAGCTGGGATTCTTACCTTTGTTCCTTTGGGAAATTTCTCTTGATGTGTTTCTAGTGAGTAATGAATAAACTGACCTTTTACCAAGATAGGTTTTCCACCTAAAATGCCGAGATGTTTAAATTTAATTACAAAGACTAGAGGATGGAGGGGGAAGAGATAAGGGAAGCTAATCAGTTAACAGTTACCAGCCAAAACTAACAAAAGACCGTTCCACATTCCTGAATGTAAGTTAAAACCTTGACTGAACACTCTGGTGGCTGACCCCCTAAGCACCATCATCCCCGTTGACACATGAACTTTCCAGACTACTAACACCAATCAATCCTGAAGCAAGATATGGACTGTCCTCCTATCCCCAGACTTTCCCTGCTTGGCACTATCTTCCTCTCTTATTTATAGTTAATTAGGTTCAATGCAAACAATTTATACTTCCCTTCGCCAAATTTTATGATGCTCTGGGTAAACACCCAGAGGCCAAGGTGTCTGCACAAACAGGAGACTCCTCCTGCCATCCCACCTCTCTAACCTTTCAGAAAAGAGGAAGGCCATCCAAAGATCACATGTGTGAAATGATCTTGGAGATTCCATATACTTCTGTATTTCAAGTGAGTAAAAGTGGTACAATGATCTCAGGTCACAGAAACAGATATCCAGATTGTAGGAAACAACTGTCCAGCCATGCCGGGAGCAGGCAAAAACACCACCACCAGTGACATCATGAGAAGAGAAGGAAGCAGTGTTATTTACGGCTCTCAGCTGCTCAGGCAGGTCATCTTAAGACAAGTAAACAGTAGCTTCCAGAGCAGAATGAAGATCTGAAGGATCTGGAAACCATGTCACACTAGGAATACTTACAGACACTCTGGCCTTTAGGACAGTGAAAAGTGGACTATGAGAGCTGTCTTCAAATTCTCAAGAGGAACTATGTGACTCCATACTGCTCCAGAAAGAAGAGCAATCCCACATGGGTAGATTAGAGGGGGGCAGACTATGGGTGCAGAAATAACATTTCTAATAATGATATTTAACCACCTTCTACTCTAATGAACTACCCGTGCTCAAGCCTCTAATTGTCCAGGAATTAACTGAAGGAATGTCTGCAGTAATCAATCATGGGCTGGAATAACTGTGGTCCTCAGAGTTGGTTGCTTATTATCTTCTCTGTAGACCTCTCCCTTACTGCGTGAATCCCCCAGAAGCCAAACTACAGAGACTGAACAAAACAAACCATCTCAACCTCCCACGTGCGCATGGCAAAAACAAATGGTAGAGCGATTGCCTAGCATAGGTGAGGCACTGGGTTCAATCCTCAGCACCACATAAAAAACAAATAAATAAAAAATAAAAGTTAAATTCTTTAAAATAATAAAAAAAGCTGTGGATGTGGATCAGTGGTTAAGCACCCCTAGTTTCAATGCCTGGTATCTAAAAAAAAAAAAAAAAACCCACACAAACAAGTGGGTGAATTCTGGCCAGTGATACCAGGGGAGTCTCTTGCTGAGAAGACAGGGCTGCAGGTGAAAAACTGGCAGAGAGTAAGGTGGAGGCATATCAAAGTACACTCTCCTGTTAAAATTGCCCTGCTTCTGTTTTTCTTGTAAGGACCTCACTGTTTAACCACTTTGGGTACATTCTCTGTTTCTAGCCCAGAAAGCTCCGAATACACTACAGATGTGTTTAAATTCAACTTTCACAGCGACACATCTAGTCTTTCCCAACCTTCCATCCTTTCAAATGCACAAATCAGCAGTGAGAGATGCACTGTCGGATACACCTGGCAGCTAATAGGCACTCAGGAGACATAGGATCTGTGCCAGATCATCTTCCACATGGCTGCCTTGGCTCCAAGAGTAAAGGTGACACAGCTGCTGCTTACAACTCAGAGATACAGTGGTCCTCCAAGAAGAGGCTACTAGGAGGCAGGATTACGATCAAAATGAAAATCATCTGATTAAACTGAAATCCTGCTTTGTCTCAAAAAAACTTAATTAGAAAAAGCAATATCACTTTCATTTGGGTCTCAAATCCCTGTCCATTTAATCAAGCCCTGGGGTCCTACTGCAAATGGGGCATAACAGTGCCCATCAAAGGTCACTTTGAGGATGCACCACTATGGTGGATGTAAGTTAGAGTGCCTGGAATACAGTAGGGCTGAACAGAAATCTGACATCAGCAGGAGTTCAACAGATGTCTGCTGTGAGCGTTCTTCTTACAAAGACTCTGAGTTTTCTTTTGAATCAGTAAGGCAAAAAGAAACATTTCACACCAAAGGTGAACCTTGATACCAAACAGGAAGAACCTGTTAATGAATCTGACAAAGGAATTAACCAAGGAACCATGAAAAAAGAATAAGGAAGAAAAAGGGGACACTAAAAAGGACTTGTTTTCCTGATAGAAATCATTTTTAATGGTGAGTAGAGGAAGATTCACAAAGAATAAAGAACCTATCTAAAGCAAAACTGTCCAAGTTGTAAATTGTGAAAGAAAGAATAAACGAAGAGCTGTGAACGATCATTTCATTCCAAAGTAAAGGATGGGAAAGGAAGACAGAAGAGTTTCTCCACACAGTTTGGCAAATTAAACATGAGATAAATAAAACCATCCAGCACAATGGAGATGCTCAGTGAGTACGAAGCAGAATATTCAAATGCCTCAGAGGCACTTCAGACTTGAATTTCCATAATAATAATTATGTCACAATTTGCACTTCATTAGTGATTAGTACAAAATAAGTGTCAACTGTCAAATGCACTGTGTACAACACTGGGTCTAGAGAATTTCTCTGTTCTCACGTTTTCTTAGCTTCAATGTCCACATGGACCTGTCTCTTCTTTGGAGGAGGAGGCGGTGGCAGTTCCTGCTTAGACTTTTTGGTAGTTACTTGTTCTCTTACACGAACCGTCTCCAAAAGATCCTTCTGAGGAATCTGGGACATCCCCAGCTTCGCTACAGCCTGAGTCACCTGAGATAAAAATCACACAAATTTGGATTTTGTATAAAGAGCTTTTTCGAGATATAAATAACATATGATGAAAATTTCCCTTTGAAAATGATCAATTCAGTAGTTATTAGTATATTCGCAGAGCTTTGCTAACCCCCCAAAAAAACTTCATCTCTCTTAAGAGCAACTTTGCAAACTCTACCCCCGCAACCCTGGCAACTAGCTATCTGCCTTCTGTCTCAAAGGATTCATCTATTCTGGACATTTGAAACAAATGGAATCATATAATCTGGCATTTGGCTTCTTTTACTTAGCATGTTTTCATGATTCATCCCTAACTGTAGCACATGTTAACACTTTTATTATTGTTTATGGCCAAGTAAAACTGCATTTCCTGGCTATACCATGTTTTATTCATCCATTCATCCACAGATGGACATTTGGGTTGTTCCATTTTTTTACTGTTATTGATAATGTTGCTATAAACATTTATGTTTATACCAAAGTCTTATTTACAAATTCACAAAATATTTTAGATTAATAAGATTACTTAAGATTTAAAATTTTAAGATTATATGCTGGATATGTCTAAGTGTTATTAATTACTGCAGATTGAACTACTGAATATTAAGTTTTTGGAAAATCTATTAAAATTTATGTTAGAGAATGGAAGAAAGATTTCCACATTATCAATTATTCATCAGATATGAGGAATTAACTTTTTAGTTCACCAACAAGTCTTTCCATTTCATAAAAGCCCAAAGCGACCTGAACATTTAAATTGTTACTTCCTGCTACAACATTCTATCCAAATCAAAAGGTACCTACCTGGTTAGAGGAATCTTCTAGTCTCTGAACCAAAGAATCCCATCTCTGAGTCAGCTCCTCCGAGTCACTGTTCATCTTCTCAGACGCCTTGGGATTATCAAGTAACTGACCCACATCCTGGCCAATCTCACTCAGCTGATCCAACGTCTGGCGCTTCATTTCCATATCTTCCTTCAAAATCTAGTATTTCAGATACTTATTAGACAATTCTCTCTCAACAGGATTCTGTCTTCCTATTCCCCAATCAGGAAATTTGAACATGTTCATTTTTTTCGTTAGATTTAGAAGGAATGTGATTCACTATACTAAAACATAAGACTTGTAGTTCCAGATCAACGCATGACAACAGTGTCCTGCCAGGTCCTGAGCTATAATCCTCATTCATGACATCCTATTAACCATCAACACAGAACACTGACAGAATGCACTTTGCATTGTGAGATGGACATGAGTTATGGGGAGCCAGGAACACAATGTTATAGTTTGGATGTGAAATGTCTCCCCCAGAAAAGCTCATGATAGACAATGCAGGAATGTTCAGAGGTAAAGTGATTTGACTAAGAGAGCTATAACCTAATCAGTAGATTAATCCATTTGATGGCTGAAAAATTTGAAAAGACTATTGTACTAGGTGATAACTGTAGACAGGTAGGGTGTGGCCAGAAGGAGTAGGTCAATGGGGGCAGGACTTTGGTGACTATATTTTGTCCCTAGATTCTCACTCTTTCTGCGGCCAACAGCTTTCCTCCACTATGCCCTTCTGCCATGATGTTCTGCCTCACCTGGGGCCCAGAGTCAACCATGAACGGAACCTCTGAAATAGTGAGCCCAAATGAATTTTTTCTCCTCTAAGTTGTTCTTGTCAGGTATGGTGTTCACAGTGAGGAAAGACATTGCCAACCACATGACTTACAGCCAGACGTCGGACACTGACGCTTAGCTCCTTCTGGTCTTTGAAGTTGCTCGTCTGGACTTTATTCAAAGCCTCTTCTTTTTCGGTAAGCCAGGCTTTCAACAGGCACTACAAGTAATAACAAAAGTTGGAAAATATCCAAGAAATCATTTGCTAGGTCAGTTCAATCAAGTTCCCAAGTCTCAAATTTTTATTAGCGGCTTCACCTTTACCTGGGTTCTGGTAAGGATTACAGACATCTAAGTCAGAGGCACAAATGACCCAGAAAACCACCTTTCTTTAGCAATTTAACATTATCAGATTTACAAGAGATAAACTTGACATTAACCTGAACCTGGGTAATGACTACAGTAGGATACGTTATGTGCATGTTCTCCAAGGAGCCATGTTGGAAGTTTGGTCCCAGTGTTTCAAGGTGCTAGGTGGTAGAACCACCTCAAGGAGGTGGAGTCTAGTGGGAGGTCACTGAGGGTGCTACCGTCAGAAAGGTAGTTCTCATGGGACTCCAATTGATTCCTAAAACAGAACCATTATAAAAGAACAAAACTGACCACTCCTTGCTCTCTAGCCTCTTCACCATATATATGATCACTGCTTCTCACATGTACCTTCACCATGATGTTACCTGCCATATGACACTGCCTCTCAAACTGTGAGCTAAATACATTGTTTTCTTCATACATTTCCCAGCCTCAGAGATTTTGTTATAGCAACAGAAAACAGACTCATACAGTGACTAAACCTAATGCTCAGGGCAGTGGCTGGATACAAAATGCTAAATACAGCTATCCATGTTTCTGAAAGAATCATATGTTATAAATCTAGAGGCAAAGGAAGATTCAAAATGGTCTTGTCCCAGGCCCATAATTTAGAGAGGAAAACAGAGAAGTGAAGTTACATATTCAAGATCAGCTGGCTAGTTAATGGCTGAGCTAGAGTAAGGACCCTCATTCAGAAACCAAGGCTCTTCCCGCAACGTCAACCAGGAAAAGTACATTTACATTCAAAATTCAACAGCAATTATGATTAAAGGAGAAAGTCTGAGGATGGTCCAAAACCAACCTAAACAATATTTAAAGCTCTTTGGTCAAAAATGCATATTCTTAAGTAGAAGATGTTAAGCAATGTAAAGAGATAACCTTGAAGAGGAGCGGAAAACAACTGTGGATAATTCTCCCCAAATCTAGTACGGACTCAGAAACCCCTTCCTGCACAGCAGGGAGCAGGTGCTTTGGTTTTGTGTGTGCAATGGGATCCACACTTCCTCAATTCTTTTATTTATCAATTTTCAATTATTCCTCACCTCCAGGTGAAAGAGAGAGGGAGGAAAGGAAGTAAGAGAAGGAGGGAGGAAAGAATGGAGGGAGAGAGGGAAGGAGGGAGGAAAGGAGGGAGGGAGGGAATAAAAGGCTAATATGAAAGTAACACCATGATTTTCTCTGGCAATCAAAGCCTCTCGACCGTCATTACTGAAGAAAGAATTCAACCATTCTCTGTGACTCTTCGCCCTAAATACAAAGTTCCAAGTAAAAATAAATATTTGTGAAGTACACCATAAATATTTTAGAAAGCAGAATCAGATTCATTATGTGATTGTTAATAGGAAAATTATGACTAAATGAGGGGTAGTGACTAATAATTTATATTTGGACAAATCTTGCAACCTACTTTTGAAGACGTAGGATCTGCCACCATATTTAGTAAATCACAAAACCTCCTGCCCCTGGTTTGGCTTCTCTTTCCCCTCCTGAAGAGAATATACTTGCTTTTTGTGGGTGGAAATGAAATTCATTTGACAGAATTAAAATGGGTATCACAGATGAGGAAACAGAGAGTGTGCTTATTTTCTAGGCCACAATCATTTGGGAAGAAAAGTTTTGATTTGTGTATTCTGTTTTGATGGCTGCTTTTCTCAAAGCACGGTGGAAGGCCACTATTCTGACTAGAAAATCAAGGTGGCAACTTTGTACCCTCTTTTCATTTGCTGTAGTGAGAACTAGTGAAAAAAAATATTCTGTTTAAACAAAGGTATTGCTACAAAATATTACCCAGTTAACTTCAGTACTTATTCTAGTAAAACATCAAGAAAAAAATCTTGTGATTAAAGTTTAGAATACACTGGGAAGACTCATTTAGTTGTTATTTACTCAACACAGACTATACTCTAGGAATTGTGTGGATACAAATGCAAACATCACCCAACACAGATCCAATAATGATTATGTTCACCAAATCAGGAATGTAGCCTATCAGAATGCTAACACTGTAAAAAAATAAATGCAAATCTAATAAGTATTATTACAAAGGAGCCATATAATGTGATCTTTATCAATAAGGTGCATGACAGAATGGATAGAAATCTGATTTTTTTTTTTTTAAATACAATACTGAAGATTATACTCTGGGGCATTCCACCACTAAGCGATATACCCAGACCTTTTTATTTTTTTTGTTTTAAGACAGGATCTCACCAAGTTGCCCAGACTGGCCTTGAACTTGCCATCCTCCCACTTTAGCCTCCCAAGTCACTGGAATTATAGGTGTGCTGCACTATATCTGGGAAGAATCTGACTTTTATGATAATGAATAACCACTTGCATGTTTTCCTTTCAAAGAAAAAGGAACAGGACAACTTTATTCTAATGCCATAATAAAAGATGGGTTACTTTTCACCATCTATTTTGTT